TACATCCCCTGCCATGTATTTTATTTTAGTAATGTAATCTTCATAGCAATTTTGTGTGGTAAAATTACATGTAACTTAATCAGGCACCAATAGTTCATGTCTGTAATCTTAGCTATTCAAAGCTAGAAAGTCCTGGAGACTCTTATCTCCAGTGAACCACCAAAAAGCTGGTAATAGAGTTGTGGCTCAAGTCGGTAGAATGCTAGCCTTGAGCAAAAAAAGCTCAAGAACAGTGTGCCCAGATCCTGAAATTAAGTCTAAGTACTGACACGCACACAAAATTACATGTAACTTAGAATAATATGAAATCACTGTGTCCAGAGATACATGTAGAAGATTTGGGCCAATGGTCTCCTCAGTAACCACAGACTCTCGTCTCCTCCCACAAAAGGTATGGTTGGGATTTTAAGGCTTTGGCATCATTGGAGAGTCACCATTGTAGATTGCGTAAGGACTGCTGAGCAAACCTCACCCATTTGACCCAACTAGTTGGGGGAAGTAGTTTAAGGGAAATTATTAAGCAATATGGACTCTGTTGGTGTGAACCATACACTAAAGCAGCCCTGGCTTACCTTTCCTTGGATTTTTGCAAAGCCTTTTCTTTATTTGGTCCCACATGATGTCTGCAGCTCAATACATATTTGGGAGAAACTCTGAATACCTTGCTTTATGCTGTTAGCTATGTATTTTGGCTTTATTTTGTTTTCCAGTGCCCATTCTAGGGTTTGAACTCGAGGCTTAAGCACTGTCCCTAAGCTTTTTTTTTCCCCCTCAAGGCCAACACTCCTTGTGCCAAGGTTCTACTTCCAGCTTTTTGATGGTTAATTGGAGATTAATATAGGCTGACTTCTAACAAATACCCTCAGATCTCAGTCTCCTCAGTATCTAGATTTATAGGTGTGAACCATGGGATCTCAGTTTGATTCTGTTCATCTTTACTTCATTTTTCCTCTTGTCATCATGAATGAGTCAAATGATGAGTCAATGGAAATGATTTGCGGTAAATGGCTAGACATCAGAGTGGTGGCCGAAACAACAGTGTAAGAACACCTGACTTGTCTGGGTTGATAATTTTCTGAGTAGATGAGGTTTTCCCCTTTGCTTGTTAGAACTGTGCATTCTAACCACTTTTCATGTTAGTCGTTGTATAACAGGCTTGGTTCTATGGTTATTTTTAAGTGAGAGCTACAGGAGGAAGTCTCTCTGAACTGGGTTTCTCAAAGGCTTTCCACTATTTCCCCACACTGCCCTGTCTAGTTGTATGACTGCTGTGAATTTTTTTCAGCTCTTGTCTCTGCTTCGGGTGTGCTTCCTTCTACTTGACTGCCGGTTATATGGAAACCAACCTGATAACAATTGTTTCCTATGACATGGTACAGCAGTGCAAACCTTCTTGAGAGCCCTCAGCCCTGACCTCCCAGGCCTGAGAGGTAGCTGTTCAGCCTGCTTTTGAAACTAGAGTAGTTTTGGCTTACTCCAAAGTGGAGAATGTACTTTGAATATGCACTTTCTCTAGGTTAAAATAGATAGCTGGTCTGGATCTACCTATACATTTTGAGTTTGATTATAGAGAAGCTGTAGAAGCAGTGAGGAGTATGCACATTGCCTAGTTGAGCATTGAACTTGGAACTAGAGAAAGTTCTTAGTACGTTTTCTACAGTATTTTGAGGACAATAATTTGGCTCCACTTGATAACTAACTCACCCATTACATCCCTGTACTAGGGACCAAACCCAAGGCCTCATCCAAGCTAGGCAAGTGCTCTTATCACTGAGCTATATGCCTTACCTTCCATCTGACTTTCTGTAGCTTTATTTTCTGGGCAACTCTCTGTCTTCTTTTTTTTTGGGGGGGGG